CCTACCAGATGTTAGATTTTTGTATACACTATCTCTGGTCTCTAAAGTGACCTTTCAGATAATAAAACTGCCCCCATTTTACAGATGAAGATACTAAAGTACATAGAGTGGTTTGGTCCATTCTCCAAGTTCACACAGTTAATAAATGAAAGAGCTGAGTTTTGAACTCAAATCTTTCTGAATCCCAAATCCTGCCTTTTCATCTCTACTTTCAAATATATGCCCTTTGTTGACGGACTGACTCACTCATTCTTTTGTGTCGGATTTTAGGTGGGATTTCATATGAGCTGTACCTTGAAATTGCAAGATAAGGCACTAGAATGAATCCCAGGTGTTACGTATCCTAAACTCTTCTTTTTATAATGGAGATAACTGAAGTCTATGGACTAGCCAAGAACATACATCAAGGTAATAACAAATTTGGGGCTAGGACATTTACATTTTTAATTAATATTTAAGCTTTATATTAGGCAAGCCACAACATAAAATGAAAATTCTAGTTTTCTCTTATAAAAGCGAATTATGAAATACATTTAAAAAAATAAATTTTCAAGCATTCATATGATCATCTATTATTGTTATTTATGCTAATATATAATTACAGGCTTTTTCATGAGTGCATTCTGAGGTTGACTCCACTACAGAATACATAACAACAAAAATAAGTGGAAACTTGGTTTGAAACATACGAAATAAATTTCACACTGAGCTCTAAAAGTAGGCATTGAGCCCAATTTCTGGAATAAATCAAAGAGTAGGCAGAAAACAGACAGAAGGAACAGTTATTTTAGCAAGAAAAGTAGGAAAAATTTACCAAGCCAATCATGGGATGATGTATGCAGATAAAAGATGTAGAGAGAAAATGTGCAACATTGACACATGAGCACATTTGAATGCGAGAAAGCAAAAAAACCAGAAAGCGCAATTGTCCTAAATGTGAATAAACATTCAAATTATGCTGCAGCTGCAAAATTTAAACTCAAGGAAAAACATTTGCAAAGGAATTTATTAAATAGATGTGATTTGCTAGTTTCACACAACCAGTGGCTCTTTTACAAAGTAAAATGTACAATTTGTCTTGATACAAGTGACATTTCCCCTGTTGTACTCAATCAAATAGCAAAAAGTCTTCTTTGAGAGACTCTGTTCATTATAGAGCACAATACTATTGATACTCAGATGCTTGGGTTTTAATTACATAGTGTTATTTCACCTAATAAAATATATATTGAGTATGGGCTTATATAATAAGGTTTCTGTGTGAAGGAAAACCATCTTTCTCTATGGCATAAGGCAGAGTAGTTTCTTTGTAAGGAATCAAGTTTCTTGCTGAAGCCAGATCATGGTTGCTAAACCTGTCCATCCATTCTTCCTTCCATTAAACCATCCATCCATCCATCCATTCGTCTATCTATTCATCCATCCATCCTTTATTCCTCCAACAGATATTTATGTCTCCAAAGTCTATGACATAGTAGAGGTTCCAAAATTTCATCACAAATCTTACTGTTGTGAATTTTATAATATTAAGATGGTATCTGACCAGAAGACTCAGATCTTGTTATTAAACTAACACACCTACCCACAATGGTGATGTTGGCAAGGAAGACCTTTTATTGTGATCAGTCTTTGACTCAAACTGCGAAGCAGAAATGGTAGTGCCAGCCTGGATCATTTAGTTTACAGAGTGGTTTTCCAAGTTAAGATCTCATGGAACAACAGATCAGCATCATCTCTGAACATGTTAGAAATGTACATTCTTGGGCCTCACTCTAGAACAGGGGTGTCCAAGGGAATGAATACAGTTATGTGTTCTTAGTTTCTGTTTCTGGTTGGGCAAGTAAAGCCCCGTCCTCATCTCTCTTTTCCAGTTATCACTAGAGACAGAAACTAAAAGCCACAGCTCAGGCTGCTAAAAGCCTAAAACAAAACAGAACAACAACAAAATAAAGTGCCTGGATGAGCTTGCTCTAGACCAATCTGTGTTTGAAAACCACAAAGCCTTAAAATCACTTGGAAGGCTTGAGAAAAATCACAGAATTTACGTTTCTACACAATGCGCTAGACCACTCGTAAGTGAGGTCAAAGAATTAAAAAAAGTAAGTCTGACAACTTAGAGTGGCAGGCTTTAAATTGCTGCTTAAGAAATTTAGATATGATGAATTGGTAAATCAGAGAACATTTTATGAGCAAAAAGCAGACATGATCAGAGCTGTGATTTTGGAAGACTTTGGAGCCAAAGGAGACCAGGGAGAGGTAAACTAATGAGGGGCAATTACATTGTTCAGGTGAGTAGACACAGTAATTTTTCTTTGGTGATTCAGGGGGATGTCCAGCCTCAAACGAACTGGGGCCCTTCACTCAGTTTGCGTCCTGTGCTTAGGATATAGCTTGTTCTAAAAAATCTCTCTCCATGTCATGGATCCTCTTCACCCCTAGTTTAATTCTGTCTGCTCTTTTCGGTATTTCTGTTTTGCATCTGCCATGACTTTCCTGGTTTCCCTGCACTACCATTCTCTGCTGCCCTTTTTCCTGTCCCTTTCACTTTCATTTCCTTCATGAGGAAATCTGCATGTGAATGCACATCACTTTAAATGTTTGTTGTTGTCTGTTTGTTTTATTTTTAATAGCTGCTCCTTAGAGAGTTCATCAATTATATTCTTCCTCTGAGCATATGATCTTCTAGGTCACAACACAACCACAGGCTTTATCCAACTTTATTTTCAATCTGTTTAATGTCCTCATGTCAAAACAAAACAAAGAAGCTCTGGTTCACTTAATGTGCTAAATCTCTTTTGCCAGCTGACCATTCATCTAACATTATGCCCATAAATATATAATTTCAGTCACCCACTTCACACAAACAGGGTTGTTTCCAAATAGGAAAGAAAATAATTAAATTTTTGTGTATTTCACAGACACTTTCTTGTAAACGAAACAATATAAAGTAACAAACACAGCTATAATTAAATGTTATTATATTATCTCTGACTATTCCAAAATGTTGGCCATACTTTCAGACATATAATGTCTCAAATATACATGTGGACTCAGATGCATTTCTCACTTAGCTGACACTATGCCATTTACTGAAGATGGACAATTCATTCATGAAGAAGTTAGTTTTGAATCAGAGCTCATTCAGATTCTACTCTATTTGGGTATAATTATTTAATGTTTTTAAAACACAAAAGTTTTTTTCTTGGAGATATTTCATTTAGGAGAAAAATGCTGATTCAGAATAAAGTAAAAGGAACTGCAACAGATTCGGCTGGACCCTGCATTGTGTCCCAGCGGTTCACTTTGGACGTCAGCCACAGCGCAGGGGAGTCTCCTTGCCTTTGAAGGGATCCATAACCCGCAGGTCATAGACCAGTACTGGTTTATGGCCCATTAGGAACTGGGCCACACGGCGGGAAGTGAGCAGTGGGCCAGCGCGCATTACAGCCTGAGCTCTGCCTCTGGTGAGGTCAGTGGCAGGATTAGATTCTCATAGGAGCACGATCTCTACTGTGAACTGTCTATGTGTGGAATCTAGGTATGTGCTCCTTATGAGAAACTAATTCCTCATGATCTGAGGTGGAACAGTTTTACCCCAAAACCATCTCCGCACCTCCCCACCCTGTCCATGGAAAAACTGTCTTCCATGAAACTGGTCCCTGGACCACTGCCTAAAGGGTATACCTCAAGTGACAACTGAGTATCTTTCTGCGCATGCATGGCTAGCACAGCCCAGAATTGTGAGAGAATTCATGCCCCTGGGGGGAATTCAAACCCAAGGGGAAAAAGCTAGTCAGTAAATCTCTTGCTGCACATTTTTCTAACAGAAATGTGGGCATCTGTACTCCTCTTGGGAGGAACCAAGTTCCCATTGCCCACACTGGTGGACTTGCTAACCCACCCATAATTTGGCTTGTGCTTCTTCCCTGATTCACTTTTCCTGCTTCTAACTCTTGATCTTTGGGATCAGCTCCCTAACAAATTGCCATACCCAAGTCATTGTCTCAAGCAAGTAATCCAAACAAAGACAATAGCTCATTATTCAGCAATATTAATCTCCTTCTGATCTGACACTACTTCTGTAGTATATTTGATTTATATGTAGTATGCAATGAAATGAAATACTACTTCTGTAGTATATTTGATTTATATGTAGTATGCAATGAAATGAAAGGAATGGAAATGATAGCAAAGACTCAAGTATTTTCATTGCCTTTCTTTCGTTTTGTTGTTTTTGTTTGTTTGTTTGTTTGTTTGTTTTGTTTTTGAGATGGAGTCTCTCTCTGTCACTCAGGCTGCAGTGCAGTGGTGCAATCTTGGCTCACTGCAACCTCTGCCTTTCAGGTTCAAGCGATTCTCCTGCTTCAGTCTCCCAAGTAACTGGAATTACAGGCACCTGCCACCACACCTGGCTAATTTTTGTATTTTTAGTGGAGAGGGGGTTTCACCATGTTGGCCAGGCTGGTCTCAAACTCCTGACCTCAGGTGATTCTCCCACCTTGACCTCCTAAAGTGCTGGGATTACAGGTGTGTGCCACTGCGCCTGGCCTTTCATTGCCTTTCTTAGCACACTTACATCATGTTGAACCTGTCCGTGCTGATAAATGCAAATTTGTTCAATATGCTAAGCAAAGCTAATAGTATGCCATTTGCTTCCATAATTTCATGCTTAACCTAACATACAATATCTGGGTCCACAGATTTATAAAAATGGCATTTGCCTTGTATGCCATTCCAGATTAACAACCACAATGAAGGTAAAATATACAAAATACATCTGGACCAGGTTCTGTATGTACAGGTAGCTAGGAAGTTAAAAAAAAAACACAGGCTTTAAATTCAACAGACTGTTAGTATGTCTGGAAGTGTATGCCAGGAATATTTATGTTCACATACACCATGCTATTAAAAAATGTCTCGTATAAGATAGCTGAAGAGGAAGCTATTATTTAGGAATGTACTTCCAATAAACGTTAAGGGGAAAGGGGGCAATTTTACCTTTGATTATCAATTGTCCATTTTCCTTTCTTCCCAGGCAGGAAAAGATCCAAATGCAGGCCCTTTTTCACTCTGGGTACCTGATGTTCAGCTGCTCTGAAAAACAACAATGCAATAATTAGATGTAATAACTAGCTTGAAACAAAAAATGCTTAAAAATGATCTCATAAGAACTACTCTGACAGCCATTATATTCAATGTTGTCAAGAAGAGAGTTTCATAGAAAATCTACATGGCCATGTTATTGCATGAAGTCACACTTGGTATTTTTCTGCTTTTCAGAAAATAAAATCAATCACACAGAAAAAAAATGTTGCTGTAATAAATAGACTTGATATTCTGCAATATACATTTCCTATCATTTATTTTCCCTTTAAAAAGCAAAAAACGCAAACATCAACAATCCAATTTTGTAAGATGTAGTATACATATGAGATTGTATTCACTTCCTGAGCATTATTTTATAATAAAACAATGCTGTATTGTTTTATCAACAGTACAACTAAGCCACTGTGACTTAACAAAGGGCCAAAATGTATCATTTTTTTTCCAGAGTGGTTCTTTCCACTCTGGAGAAAAACCACAGGCGGATGCCAATCATGGCATAATATTCCCAAGTGTGCTACTAGACTTACTGGTGCCTTAGTCAAGTCACTATCCATAATTAGGACAAGTACTTAATGCATGTGGGGCTTAAAACCTAGATGACGGGTTGATGGGTGCAGCAAACTACTTTGGCACAAGTATACCTTTGTAACAAACCTGCACGTTCTGCACAGATATCCCAGAACTTAAAGTAAAATAATAATAATATTTAAAAAATCCTTTCTTAGAAAAGTGACAAAGTGGAACATATAACTGGACCCACACTCATGAAAGAGGTAACTATTCCAGATCATATCACATGTTACATGGCTGAGCTATGAGTTTCCTTTCTGAAAAGTGACATAGAAAAGGACTTGGGTCACACACAAAAATGATCTCAACAGTGTAAGTAGTTAAAAAGGTCTCTTTCTATTTTTTGTAAGCAATGCATCCTTTTGGATCTAGGTAGCATATTAAAATATTGTCAGAAAGGAATGAGAAAAATAGCGAATCTAAGTAGTAAGCAGAAATGTAATTATATTCAGAATTGAGAATATAATTTGTATTTTTTAACCTCCTAATTATTTATAAGAATTATAGTGCATAAATGAGTGTGGAATTCATTTTACAGAAGAGGGAGAAGATGTCAGAAGAGGTGATATGGCTCCATCAAATTTATGCAGTAAAGAGACACAGTGGCAGAGACAGAATTACATCCCAGATGCTCTGTCTGGAAGTTCAGTCTCTTTAGAAATTCACATCTTGTTTCCAAAAAGAACACTGGACATTCAAAAAGTTCAGGGCTAGTACAATTCTTTGCAGAACTTGTTAAAGCAATATTTTGAGACTGGCAAAGCTGGCAGGTATGAAAATGCTGTGGGTGGTAAAAGGCAAGAACGGAAACACAACAGCCTCATGTATTTGCATGACACTTAATAATGCACCAGACGAACAAGTGACTTTCACACATACCTCCTTATCCATGCCATAGAAGACAAAAATGAGACTCTATCATCAAAAGCTTTTAGTTATACTTTCAAGGTCATGAGCCCCGATTTATATACTATTATTCTGCTAAGTATTTTCAATATTCCATTGAACCAGACAAGCTCTGAGTGGAATTTCTTCCCCACATATATGAGGACTAGGTAACTCAGGAGACAATGAAAAATTGTTAATTTTGAAAAACACATAGAGCTGATCGATTATCCTTTCATAACTATTCATTGAGAATTTATTGTCCACTAGATAGTACTCTTAATTTTCTTTGGAAACAAAATGGAAAGATTATGCAATTTTGAAAAAGATACCCAGAAACACAAGAAGAAATTAATTTCATTATAATTGGAGTATTTTATAAGTTAGATAATTGTTAGGTAAACAAATGCACTAATCACTAGGAGCAGTCCTAAATGTCATCTAGTCTAATGGTTCCCAAATGTAGTTGATCATCACAGTCATCTGGAAATTTCCATTAAAATACAAATTATAGAATTTCATGCAAGATCATTTAAATAGGAGTATTCATGGGTAAGGCAGGGGAATCCACATTTTGAAAATGCTTCCAGCTAATTCTCCTGATGAAGCAGGTTGGGAAACCTACCAATTCTGTCCAGTGTCCTCATTATATACATAAGGAACATGAAACCAGAGAGTTGACTTGCTCAAGGCATTTGCTTCCTGGTGACAGGACTGAGATGAAAATGCAGAACTCTTGATTCTCTATTTTTTTTTCTTTTCCTTACCCCAAGTGTCCCTCTTTTACTTTTTGCTTCCCTTTTTTTTTAACCACACATAATCAAGATTTAGCATCTATATCTGAGAAAGAAAAAGAGCAAAAGAACAAGTTAACTATAATTATTTGAGTATCAGAAGATGTAGGTATGTTTCCTCATTGGCAACCTCAGTGAATTTACATAGAGGAAAGGTAAAGGACAGGAATTTGGACTTTAGCTCTTCAATTCAACAGTGTGCCTCCTGCTCTACCACTATCTTTTTCTAGAATCAGCTACTTGGGAGTTGTCTGCTGAGTCCCTTTCTTTGAGGTCTGCCCAGCACTCCCCATCTGCAGTTGTCAAAGGGGTCCTCTATCAGTTGTTTGCACATGGAGTCCTCATTCGTCACATCCCTGATTGGACCAGGAGAGGTGTTTCACCCAAACCAGGCCCATCACTGGGACTGCGACACTACAGCTTTGTCCAGGTAAAGGAGTGATGGGTAAATCATGGAGGAGGAAGAATGAGAGACACACATGGAAGGTGAAACAAGAACTCTCTCAATTCATCTGCCTCCTGCTCCCTCGTTTTCCTTTTTCTCTGTGGCTTTCATGAGCTCATGTATCCTTAAGAGATAAAGAGACAGAGTCTTGCTCTGTCATCCAGGCTGGAGTGCAGTGGTGCAATCATAGCTCACTGCAGCCTGAAACTCCTAGGCTCAAGTGCTCCTCCTGCCTCAACCTCCAGAGTAGCTGGGACTATTTGTGCACCACCATAATTGGCTATTTTTTAAAAATTTTGTTGTAGAGATGGAGTCTCTCCATGTTGTTCAGGCTGGCCTCAAACTCCTGGACGCTAGTGATCCTCCTACTTTGGCCTCCCCCTTTTTTTTTTTTTTTTTTTTTTTGAGACGGAGTTTCGCTCTTGTTACCCAGGCTGGGGTGCAATGGCGCGATCTCGGCTCACCGCAACCTCCGCCTCCTGGGTTCAGGCAATTCTCCTGCCTCAGCCTCCTGAGTAGCTGGGATTACAGGCACATGCCACCATGCCCAGCTAATTTTTTGTATTTTTAGTAGAGACGGGGTTTCACCATGTTGACCAGGATGGTCTCGATCCCTTGACCTTGTGATCCACCCGCCTCGGCCTCCCAAAGTGCTGGGATTACAGGCTTGAGCCACCGCGCCCGGCCCCCCCCTTTTTTTAAAAAAAAAAAAGTTAAATTACTTATTTTAAAATCAAATTTTTTGGCTTAAGCTAACTTAGTTTCTGTAACTCGCAGCCAGAGTCCAGATGAATATGCTTCATATCATTCATTTTATGTACGTTACTCTACACTTTAGTTATAGTATTCTAAGAGGCTTATTTAAAAACTATTGGCTAAGAGTGTGGACAAGGAAGAATACATACTACAAAGGTATGCATTTTATGGAATACCTGTATTTTCATCAAACACATATTTTGAAGTGTGATAAAGTGGAGAAGGCCCCGGTCAGAGTCCTTTCATCTCAGATCTGACTCCTATAAAGTTTCTGAGTTGTGAAAGTTACTTAGCTTCCCTGAGTTTTAACGTCCTGACCTATAAAATACCTCCTGGCTAACTTTAGTCAGGTTAGTATGAGGAACAAGAGAAAGCACTCACTCATTCTCTCATTCATTCATTCACCCCACCAGACTGCAAAGATTTACTAAGCATCTATTATATGCCAAGCACTATCTAGGGAGATGGGAATACATTAGTGAACATTTCATTTTAGTAAAGACAAATAAACAGAAAATAAATAATAAATGTAAAGTAGTAAATTATAGAGCCATTTAGAAGGTGAAATATTCTATAGATGTAAGAAAAATAGACCAAGGTAAGAGGTATCAGAAGTGCGTTGGCAGGGAGCCGTGGGGAGGGGACGTGAGGGGACTTCACCACGAAAGTGAGGTGTGACCAAAAATTGAGAGATTTGAGGGAGTGAGTTACATGCTAGAGAAGGATATTCCAGGCAGAGGAAACTGCAGGGGTTAAAGCGCTGAGGTGGGAGTGTTCCTGATTGGTCTTGGAATTGCCAGAAAGTCATGGGATGGAGTGAAGTGAGGAAGGAGGTTAGTAAGTATGTGCACAATTTCCTTCTACAAATCTGCTGCCCACTGTGAACCCTGTGGGAACTAATGAATATAAGTCACAACAAATGGCATTACTTGGGCACTCTACAGTTCACATCATGCTTCTGTACGGATGAGCTCACCCTGCTACCTGGAACACGTTTTCCTCACTGGGTCTTCTACGGGACTGTGAGGAATGGTCGTAGGTACAGATGATACAAAGTAGTTCAACTACAATTGCTAACCTCATAGACTTTTCTCTCACAGTTGCCATTTAGCATATTTTCTGAATGTAAAGATGTGTATATTTGCCCTTCCAAAGTAGTGAATAAGGAATTCATTAAGATGAAAGTACACTACTGAAGTGAGTATATGTATATTAAAAGATGTATGTCCCAGCAATTCAGTACTTAGACAAGCTTATGAGCACAGATGAGTTGTTATGAATTTGTAACATTAAACATTGGGGGAGGTGGGTGCTATGGGGAGGTAGAGGAAGAAGTGGGTCAAGGGTGGCTCATGGCTTTTCGGCTTGGACTCTGAGAGTGACATGGGGGCCATGGCAGGAGTTTCAGCTTACAGTTGACATGGTTTATGTTTCAAAACCTCATCCTGGCTGCTGGTTGGGAATAGTACATAGGAGAGGTCAGGATGCAGGTAGATGGAAGGCTTATGAACCATCCAGGGAGAGGCAATATTAGCTGC